AGCACTTAGTCCTGGTTGACTTCCTCCTGTTCATTAAACAACACTAGAAGGAACTAGTTACTTTCAGACTAACAGCTGGTTTTTGTTTTTTTTTGGTCACTTTCAAATGCTGTCAGTGAAAGCCAGGAAAAGGAAACATAATCAGCACACTTAAACCACAGTTCTACATGTATCTTTTTTTTTTTTAATGAGGATTTCTCACTTGCCTTCCCTCTCCATCTCTCTCTCTGTCTCCCACACACACCATTTGTAGTTCTCAGTACTAAGGAGAGGAATGAAGATGCAAAGATGGAAAACTCTGGGGACTTCCCTGGCCTTCCAGTGGTTAAGACTCCACTCCTCCAGTGCAGGGAGTGTGGGTTTGATTCCTGGTTGGGGAACTAAGATCCCACATGTCAGGGTGCAGCCAAGGGAGGGGAGAAAAAAGGAAACAAAAAAAGATGGAAGACTGATGGAAACAAAGAAGCAGAATACCCCATTTATTAATGTCAAGAAGGGCAGGGGGAGGGGGTGGGGGAATGTAAGCTTGACTTTTTCTCTTTTTTAAAGTCACAGAGCCATTTTTAAAGCCAACATGCCCACAGTGCCCTCCCTTGAAAATGCTATCACTTTTATCCAGGTTAGATAATAAAGTTTCATTTTCCCCCACCCAGAGCTAGGAACTAGAGAAATAGTCTGAACAAACACTATGATCAAAAACCAACCAACCAACCAAACAAATACACACACAAATTTTGCATTATGTATATTTTAAGACCCTTATGTTAGAAGCATCTGGAGAAAACTCCTACGAGATGCCAAGGTTTACCTCCTCACCCCCGCATAATTATTTCTATATTATTCAATAATAACACAGTTGTCTTCATACTCTTTTATATTACCTACCTGGGAAAATCATAAAAGACTTCATCAAAATGAACTAATTAACTATGATACTGTTTATAGCTTTTCTCATTTTACAAATGGGTAAACGAAAGCCATGAAAGGATAAAGTAATGGTCCCCCAAAGATATGTCAGAATATCTTACCTCATGGAACAGGTGTATTCCAGCAAAACTGAATAAAAGTGAGTTTCAGCCTAGCAAAGCCTACCATGGCAGCACTGGCTTTCACTAAAAAATCAGAAATGCATTCTCAAGGGAATAAAATCTCACAACAGAGCAAATTCAGTGATTTTATTTAAGTTAACAAACATCTATTGATGCCTATTGTCTGGTGCTGGACAAGCAAAGGTGAGAGCATTGAATGAGCTCAGGACCCAGGTGCTGGGTGGGGCTGACCACTCCCTGATCACAAAACATAATGAGGTCAGTAGAGAAGAGACAGAGAGCATTAGGGGTGGGGAGACACAGAACAATTCCAGGTGAGTCACTGGGGACCTTCACACATGCAGCCGTCTGTGAAAAGGAGCCTCTGAAATGGATTAAATGGTGGCCCTGGAAAAGAATATTTTTGGTCACCTGAGATCACCATTTTATTCAGGGTGGCAATATACCCAGCTAACAGACTGCATTTCCTAGCTGTCTGGGATGGATGATGTGGTCATGCACACAGTAAGATAAAGTCATAAAGGCTCTGCGAAATTCCAGGAGGAGCCCTTAAAATGAAATGCAGCATTACATCCTTCCTTCCTGCTGACCTAGAATGTTAATATGATGGCTGGAGCTCCAGCAATCATATTACACCTAGAGACTATTTTAAGAATAAAGGCAAAAAAAAAAAAAAAAAAAAAAAGAATAAAGGCCAAACACTATGATGCTGGAGAAGAAAGAAAGAGGTCTCTGTCCTTGGTGACTATGGAGCCAAGATATAAACTTCAACTTCTTCTAACAAAAGGAATACAGATTGAGTTCACAAAGAAATTGAAATGCACCTACAACCACTGTGATAAAGTGTGGAGCTCAGGTCCCATCTGTTAAACAAGGAGGCCACTTGACTGAGGGCTTAAATGCCCTGCTGCTTCCTTAATCACACCAAAAGAGAAAAAGTGAAAGTATTAGTGGCTTAGTTGTGTCCCACTCTTTGCAACTCCATGACTATAGCCCACCAGGTTCTTCTGTCCATAGAATTCTCCAGGTAAGAATACTGGAGTGGGTATCCAGCCATTCCCTTCTCCAAGAGATCTTCCCCATCCAGTGGTGGAACTTGGGTATCCCGCACTGCAAGCAGATTCTTTCCATCTGAGCCAATCAAACCAAAACCTAAGCTGTAAATGCCTCAAGGTTACAGAACTGAAACCTAAGGATAACCAATCACAGAGAGCCAACTAAGCTTTCAGCAACAAGAGAAGACTCTACACATGGACATCACCAGATGGTCAATACCGAGATCAGATTGATTATATTCTTTGCAGCCAAAGATGGAGAAGCTCTATACAGTCAGCAAAAATAAGACTGGGAGACTTAAATTGAAGAAAGTAGGGAAAACCACTAGACCATTCAGATATGACCTAAATCAAATCCCTTATGATTTTACAGTGGAAGAGACAAATAGACTCAAGGGATTAGAGTCTAGGCACTGATACAGTGCCTGAAGAACTATGGGCGGAGGTTTGTGACATTGTACAGGAGGCAATGATCAAGACCACCCCCAAGGAAAAGAAATGCAAAAAGGCAAAATGGTTATCTGAAGAGGTCTTAAAAATAGCTGAGAAAAGAAAAGACACAAAAGGCAAACAGGAAAAGGAAAGATATACCCATTTGATTGCAGAGTTCCAAAGAATAACAGATAAGAAAGGCTTCCTCAGTGATCAGTGCAAATAGAGTAAAACAACAGAATGGGAAAGACTAGAGATCGCTTCAAGAAAATTAGAGATATCAAGGGAAATTTTCATGCAAAGATGGGCACAATAAAGGACAGAAATGGTATGGACCTAACAGAAGCAGTTGTATTAAGAAGAGGTGGCAAGAATACACAGAAGAGCTATACAAAAAAGATCTTTATGACCCAGATAATCATGATGGTGTGATCACTCACCTAGAGCCAGACATCCTGGAATTTGAAGTCAGGTAGGCCTTAGGGAGCATCACCACAAACAAAGCTAGTGGAGGTGATGGAAGTCCAGTTGAGCTATTTCAAATCCTAAAAGCTGAAGCTGTGAAAGTGCTATCCTCAATATGCCAGCAAATTTGGAAAACTCAGCAGTGGCCACAGGACTGGAAAAGGTCAGTTTTCATTCCAATCCCAAAGAAAGGCAATGCCAAAACAGATGACACCACCCTTATGGCAGAAAGTGAAGAGGAAGTAAAGAACCTCTTGATGAAAGGGAAAGAGGAGAATGAAAAAGTTGGCTTCAAACTCAACATTCAGAAAACTAAGATCATGGCATCTGGTTCCATCATTTCATAGCAAATAGAAGAGGAAACAATGGAAACAGTGAGAGACTTTATTTTGGGGGGCTCCAAAATCACTGCAGATGGTGAGTGCAGCCATGAAATTAAAAGATGCTTGTTCCTTGGAAAAAAAGTTATGACCAACCTAGACAACATATTAAAAAGCAGAGACATTACTTTGTCAACAAAGGTCCGTCAAGTCAAGGCTATGGTTTTTCCAGTAGTCATGTATGGATGTGAGAGTTGGACTGTAAAAAAGCTGAGCACCGAAGAATTGATGTTTTTGAACTGTGGTGTTGGAGAGGACTCTTGAGAGTCCCTTGGACTGCAAGGAGATCAAATCAGTCAATCATAAGGGCAGTCAGTCCTGAATATTCATTGGAAGGACTGATGCTAAAGCTGAAACTCCCATACTTTGGCCACCTGATGGGAAGAATTGACTCATTGGAAAAGTCCTTGATGCTGGGAAAGATTGAAAGCAAGAGGAGAAGGGGACAACAGAGGATGAGATGGTTGGATGGCATCACTGACTCAATGGGCATGAGTTTGAGCTCCAGGAGTTGGTGATGGACAGGGAGGCCTGGCATCCTGCAGTCCATGGGGTCACAAAGAGTCAGACACCACTGAGCAACTGAACTGAACTGAACTGAATTTCCTTACTTTGCTTCTGCCTTTTATGTATAATAGCCTCTCCCCTGCTCCTGTCTGTGGAGCACTCCTGGCCACTTCTGGTTCAGTGCTGCCCAATTGGAATAAATTTTTGCTTAAACTTAAAATTATACTTCAGTTTAGCTCAATACCTCCAAAGGGGGCAGGCAACGGCTTCTTAGCTCAGGCAACTGTGGGAATGACGGCTTCAGTCAGTTCAGTCCCTCAGTCGTGTCCAACTCTTTGCGACCCCATGAACCGCAGCACGCCAGGCCTCCCTTGTCCATCACCAACTCCCGGAGTCTGCCCAAACCCATGTCCATTGAGTCGGTGATGCCATCCAACCATCTCAACCTCTGTCCTCCCCATCTCCTCCTGCCCTCAATCTTTCCCAGCCTCAGGGTCTTTTCAAATGACTCTTAATATTACAAGATCTCTCATTTTCAAAAGATGTCAGAAATCAGGTCAACCTGATACGCTTGGGAGTCCACTTATGGCCTCCTCTGGTTCCTGTGGGAGGGAATTGGTCATCGCCCCTTGTGCCAGGTGGTGGAAAGGGACTCACGACCCTTGGTCCCCAGGGGAGCAATGGGCAGTCACCCTGGTTCCTCTGAAAGAGAGAGAGAGAGAGTGTGTGTGTGTGTGTACCTGTGTGTGTGTGGTGGGGAACCTGTGGCTAACCCTGGTCCCTGTGGGAGGAGATTGTGGCCACCCACCCCTACTCGGCTCGGTGGGAAGGGACCTGTTATCATCTCAGGTTACAGTCCACGTGGACGCGGACCTATGGTCACTCTGGGACCACCAGAGGAGCCTCTTCTGGTTCCCATGGAAGGGACCCGCGGATGCCCTGATGCTGGTCCCATGGGAGGGATCTCGCGGACCACCCCCACCCCCACCCCAGGGGCTGCGAGGCGCGCGCTGGCTCGGCTCCGGCGCGGGGGCCCGGGCCCCTGCCTGGCGCTCGGATTCTAATGCGTCCCCCGGGGCCGCTCGGCGGGTGATCCCAGTGATACCCGGTACCGGGATGGCCCCGAGAGGCAGCGCGGCGGGGGCTTCTCGGCACTCTCCGCGCACATCTCGCCGGGGCCGACTTCAGGGATGCCCCGTATTGCTTTTGAGTGTCTTAGCTTTGGGGAGACAGCAACGAAACCCCAAGTCGGGGCTTCCGGACGCCACATTTCAGTGGGGACGCTAGAGAAAGAATAAAAACACATGGGCCCATGTATACCGTGATACCTATAGACCCGTATAGACACAGGCCAGGGGTCGCGTGTGCTGTTTCAGGCAGGATGCTCAGGGAGGCCTCCCTGTTAGAGTGACATCTGCGCAGAATCCTGGGTGCCAGGAGCGTTCCTTGAAGCTGGGGTGGGCTGGCGAGGTGTGGGGGGAGGGCTGGTGGCTAACTAGGATTTCCAGGCAGAAGACGCAGCCAAAGTGCAAACCAGTGTTCCTGCATCCTGCCATCCTAAGTACCTTCCCTTGGACTTCCTGGTGGTCCAGTGGTTGAGAATCCACCCTGCAATGCTGAGGATGGAGGTTCGATCCCTGGCGGGGGAACTAAGATTCCTCAAGCGCTGTCACATGGCCAACATACCTGCTTCACCCACCCACCCACTAAGAAATAAACTAGTCTTCCCTCTTCCTTACCTACCCCCCTCCCTCCTGGTTATCTTCTTAACATTTATCTTCTAATGCAGTTGCAGTTTTCTTGTTTTCTAGATTTACCCCTCTACATTTTCTCTTTTCCCTGCTGGAAGGTAAAAGTCCTCAGGGCAAGGAGGGAACCGATTAGTGCCTGAAGTTCAGTTCAGTTCAGTCGCTTAGTCATGTCTGACTCTTTGCGACTCCATGGACTGCAACACACAAGGCTTCCCTGTCCATCACCAACTCCTGGAGCTTGCTCAAACTCATGTCTGTCCAGTCGGTGATACCATCCAACCATCTCGTCCTCTGTCGTCCCCTTCTCCTCCTTCCTTCAATCTTTCCCAGCATCAAGGTCTTTTCCAAGGAGTTGGCTCTTCACATCAGGTGGCCAAAGTATTGGAGCTTCACCTTCAGCATCAGTCCTTCCAATGAATATTCAGGACTGATATCCTTTAGAATGAACTGGTTTGATCTCCTTGCTGAAGTTTCATAGCAGCCTTTTTTTTTTTTTTTAAGGCAGAGTGACTTGCTTCCTGTAATTTCTCAATTGACTTCCCCTCTGTGAACCTGCTTCCTCATCATGGGAATGAGTGATGGGGCCACGCCTACCCCTTCCTGTCCCTACTTTCTCCTTCAAATATATTAGTTCTCCTGAAGTGCATCGGTAAGAATGGCCCACTAGATATATCAGTGTTCTGAAGTTTACGGTTTTTCCCATGAGAATTTTCACCATGCAGGTTTAAGATAGTGACAGTGCCATCACTCATTTGGAAGGCAGCTATGCTTGCCACTATTTTTTCTTTCCCCATGCTGTGCCACATGTGGGATCTTACTTCCCTGACTAGGGATTGAACCTGTGCCCCCTAAAGTGAAAGTTTGGAGTCTTAACCCCTGGACCACCACAGAAATCCCAGTCATCACTCATTTGGACACAGGTAGCCAGGAGGCACAGGCTTCCCCGGTAGCTCAGACAGTAAAGCATCTGCTTACAATGCAGGAGGCCTGGGTTCAATCCCTGGGTTAGGAAGATCCCCTGGAGACTCCAATATTCTTTCCTGGAGAATCCCCATGGACAGAGGATCCTGGTAGGCTACAGCCCATGGGGTCACAGAGAGTCAGACACGACTGAACGACTTCATTTCAGCCAGGAGGCACACAGTGGTCTTCACCCTCATGGAGCACATTCTGTGAGGGAAAGAGAGATTTGGGGATATTAGCCAGGAATAAGGGAGGTGATTGAGGCTGTGGGTTCAGAGAAGGGCTGTCTCAGTAGGTGACATTCAAATAAAGACCTCAGTGGCAGATGGAGGCAGTCTCTTGGGGATCTGGAAGGGTGGATGTTCCCAAGATATGGTAATAGCTCAACACAGGTCCTGGGACCAGAATAGTCTCTTGAGAAGCAGAAAGAGAGCTGTGCTCCCTGGACTGTGGTGAGGAAAGGAGGTCAGAGAGAGTGGCCAGCCCAGCAGAGCCTGCGACTAGAGAAAGCATCCATTATTTAACACTCCACTCCTTAACTCTAGCCACGCGTGTGTGCAGGCTAAGCCACTTCAGTCACAGCCAACTCTTTGCAGCCCCGTGGAGTGTGCCCAGCAGGCTCTTTGGTCCATGGGATTCTCCAGGCAAGGATACTGAAGTGTGTAGCCATGCCCTCCTCCAGGGGATCTTCCCGACCCAGGGATCAACCCCTGTCTCTTATGTCTCCTGCATCGGCAGGCAGGTTCTTTACCACTAGCAGCACCTGGGAAGACCCTCAAGGTGCACACATCAAGCCAAATTGTCCAAAGGCCCTCACCCACCAAAGGGCTTCCAGGGGCACCAGACAGGCACTGGCACAGACGTTTAGCAAGGGTGCAGGGCCCTTTAATTACTGTGCTCTTTTTTTTTTCCTGGTTTTAGAGGTCGCAAAATATTGTTCTCTGCTTTGGTCTGTCTCTCTCATCAGAGCCAGGCTTTGACCTCTCCTTCACTCACTCAGGAAGATTGCTGGGGATGGGAGTAGAAAAGGGAAAAAGCAGAAGTTGCGGGAAGATATCTTTTGTCTTTTGAAAGTCTGGGTTCCTTCAGGAAATGATGCTGGGTATCCTGAAGGGCAGGGGAAGGAGGTTTCTTTGGCAACAGACTTCCCTGGGAGCCAATTACCAGAAAGCAGTGAGAGCCAAAGGTTCAGACTTTCTCTGAGGGAGACTCCTATGATCCTCCAGTGACCCTGGGCCATGGGGGAGGGAGCCCCCCCCAAATGAATAAGATTGGGGTTCCGAACCATCAGTCTACCTGGGCAGGCTGAGTTGGATAAGACTGGGCTTACAAAAAGGAAAAAATGGGTCCATTCTTGCACACTCAAGCTTGTAGTTGTGAATGAACACCCAATATATAAGTAGTGATGCTGATTTGCGATGGGTACATCCACACGGGCCGGGACAACATACAGGGCACTCTGGGAAACTATCCTGGGCTAGACTTAGGCTGGTTCAGGTCTCCTGCCTTCACTTGCCAGCTTCCCTGCTTAAGATCTCTAAGATCTACGCCATGATACATAATCACAGCTCAAACCTGCCCCATAGGCTTGTTATTAGGATCAAATGTGAGTTAATCCATTTTCAGTGTTTTGAAACAGGGCTTGGTATTTAGTACGCACTCAGTAAACGTGGGCTAGCCATGAGAATATGTACCTTAGTTGGCAAAGCAGGGACGGGTCAGTGTGAAAGGGATGGTGTCTCGGGTTGAGGAGCAAGCAGGTGGGATGTTGTAAAAGTGGATCCCTTCTGGACCAAATTGTGCAAATCAAGCAGTATAGAATATTCTAGGTCAGTGATTTTTTTTTTATTTTTGGCTGCATCTTGAGTGATGCAGGATCTTAGTTCCCTGACCAGGGATTGAACTGGTGATCCCTGCAGTGGTTAAGCTCAGGGTCTTAACCACTGGACTGCCAGGGAAGTCCCATAGGTTAGTGCTTCTTGATGGCAGAAAAGGCCAAGAAAATGTGTGAAGGAGGAAGGAGTGATTTTGCCCCCAGGGAACATGGAGCAGTACCTATAGGCATCTTTGGTCCTCACAGCTCCTGGCATCCTGTGGGTAGAGGCCAAGGATTCAGCTAAACACCCTCCAATGCACAGGACAGCCCATGATGGAGACTGAATGAGCTCAAAATGTCAGAGATGCTGAGGCTGACAAACCCTGCTCTTGGTGGAGTCAGCAGATGTGGCTGGAGGGGTAGACCCAAGTCACGGAAGACCTTCAGTTATTCATTTATTTTTGGCTGTGCTGGGTCTTCATTCCTTCGAGGGCTTCTACTCTTTGGTTGCAGTCTACTGGCTTCTCATTGCCGAATTTTCTGATGTTCTGGAGCAGGGACTCTAGGGCACATGGGCTTCAGAGTTACGGCTCACGGGCTCTAGAATATAGGTTAGTAGTTGTTCAAGGGTTAGTTACCCCATGGCATGTGGAATCTTCCCAGACCAGGGATCAAACCCGTGTCCCCAGCATTGGCAGGCGGATTCTTATACACTGGACCACCAGGGAAGTCCTGTTTGCAGAATTTTAAATACCCTAATCAAGGCCTACTCTCTGGGATTGTCTCCTAAGCCCTGTGAATGTTAGAAACCTGCATCAGAGGTTTGTTCACCAGCATGCAAAGAAGAGAATTGTTGTAAAGAGGAGAACTGTTTAGGGTGTGTGGTTTGCTGCACAGTTATGGGGGCCTTTGTGTGGAGGAGACTCAGGGACCCTGCCCACCCAGCAGCCCTGCTGTCTGCATCTCCCTTTGGTCAGTGTCCCCACTGTGTTACCTGGCTCAGCCAGAAGCCAGGTCCAGCGAGGGGATCCATGGTTCCCTCCTCTCACTTCTAATCCCCTGAGGCTGTCAACAATTTCCAGAAGAACCCAAAAATCCTGAGGATCCTCTGAGCTAGGCAAATAGGTTCAGGTCAGTTTCTCACAGTAAAGGTGGAAATTTAAATTGCACAAGTGAAAAAAAAAAGTCATACCGTTCTCTGGGACAAAGTAACGGGAGATGAGGTCAAAGGACACCTCCTGTTAGGCTAAAATCAATAGCAGGGCTGGGTAGTAGGCCAGAGATCCTCCACCTCTAAACTCAAAGGTATTTACTCTCTGGCCATTTCCAGGGAAGGTTTGCTGACCCCTGCTCTAAATCAGACCATCAGAGACTTGATAGATCACTGCGTCCCATACCTAGAGTTTGGTCTGCAGTGTGGCTAAAGGTTTAAGGATGTCAACTACAAACGGGCACTTGCCAGGAGCACTGCCAGTGGCTGAACAAGGGCATTTGCCGTCTGCCCCTGCGGAGATTGAACCCTGCGCTGCCACAGCTTTGACCTTCAATACCCCTGAGGGCGTTTAGGGTGGAGAGGCACTCTGCTCCAGGGAATCTAGTGAGACTGGTCTTTAGATAGTTGGATATTTTCAGGAGCAG